AGTTACTTATACTTTAAAAAAATTATGGGATATTATTTCCTTATAAGGAAAATCTACTTAAGATGTCCTTAGCATCCTCAAAACTTGTCAATCACTATAGTAATGGAGAATCAAAGAATGGCTTGCATTGGAAGGGACCTTCAAAGATCATACAGTCCAATCTCCCTGCCACATTACTCCAAGCCCTGTACAACCTGAACCTGAATACTGCCAGTGATGGGAGACCCACAGCTTCTCTGGGCCACTTGGTCCAGTGTCTCACTGCCCTTATCGCAAACAATTACTTTCTAATAGCTAACCTAAACCTGTTCTCTTTCAGTTTAAAACTGCCCCTTGTCTTGTCTATACTGTCATTGGCAAGTCCCTCTCCACCTTTTTTTATAGGCCCCCTTTATATATTGAAAGGCAGCAATCACCCTGGAACCTTTCCCTCCCCAGGCTAAACAATCTCAGCTCCCCAAGCTAAAGAACCTTAGCTCTTCCAGCCTTTCTTCAGAGAAGAATGTTTCCAGACCTCTGACCATTTCTGTGGCTTTCCTCTGGACCTGGATGTATTGCTCCAGGTGGGGTCACACTAGAGAACAGCAGAGGAGGAGAGTATCATGACAGTATCTTGCTTCTGTTTGCTTCAGAGTTTCTTTGTTTCTCTACACTGACTTTTAAAGGTTGTATTTGATTTTGTTTCAAATATGATTTGACTTTAGTGAACAGATTTTTTTGTTTTCTCCAGCATCTCACAGAATCACAGAATGATTGATGTTGGAAGGGACCTCTGGAGGCTACCTTGCCCAAGCTTGCTCCTTAAACAGGGCGACTTGGAGCCCTGGACCATCTCCAGACTTCACCACCCCAATGGCAACCTGGGTTAGCATGTGATCATCCTCAGAGTAAAAAAGTTTTCCCTGATGTTCACAGGAAACCTCACATGTTTCAATTTGTGCCCATTTCTTCTTGCCACTGGGCACAAATGAGAAGAGCCTGGGCCCATTCTCTTTACACTCTTCCTTCAAGTCAATAAGATACTCTCTTCTGCAGGCTGAATAGGGCTTCAGTGCCAGCTCTCCCAGGTTTTTCTATTAAAAAATGCTCTAGTCTTTCTTATAACCCTTTTCAGGACACTGTTCAGTGGTACTGGGAACATATTCCTACAAAAAACACACTTCCTATAAAATTCTATTTTATTTAAAATAAAAGTCAAATTTAAGATGCTTTGGGATTTTTCCTTTTCCTTTTTCCTTTCCTTTCCTTTCCTTTCCTTTCCTTTCCTTTCCTTTCCTTTCCTTTCCTTTCCTTTCCTTTCCTTTCCTTTCCTTTCCTTCTAAATAACTAATATCAGATGACTTATATTTTCTTGTAATATTAACTTGATCCTAAGACAGGTCAAAAGATCATGGGAGAGAGGCAGTTAAGGTTTTTCAGCTTTCAGGACATTCATTTAACGAAGACATCCAGACAAGGCCCCCTCTTTACAGTTACCTAGGATGTGACAGACTACAATTTCTGAGACTTTTTTACATCTAAACCTTTCAGTTGGGGTTGACCTACAAAGGAAGAACACCTGATATGTAGTTCAGCTGCTGCTAACAAAATAATAACCAGCCATTTGCAAAAGTGGTGTGGGATTAATGTCTTCACACAGCTTGCAAGTCTACAGGGGGCTCCAAAACTCTTTGCAGCGATCTGTTTTGGATTAAATTAGTGTAATGCAATTACATCAAAAACAATTTCTGAGCATATCCATTTTTCTTCTTATACTCAATCAGGATGAAGGAATGAAAGAAGGGAATAGAGGAAGGAAGAAAAGGATGATAGTGCATTCATTGATTCATTCATCATTTCTTTTTCCATTTTTAGACTGTAAGATTATTTCATCTGCTCTCATATTAATTATAATTAATAGCATTAATAAGGTGCTTAGCCTACATTGAAAGAAAATTAATGTTATTAGCCAGAGAATAATTCTCTAAGGCATGTCACATGCAGTGACATTATAACTGAATGCTTTCAACATTGAATTCTGTTATACACACATCAGTATGAAAAAACAATAGACATACATGGTCCCAAAGCTTATAAAGAGGCTTTTTATTTTGGATATTTGACATGGATTGTAATCATAATCTTCAGTATTGGTTTAACAAGTCACAAACATGAAATATTCAAAGTATTTTATTCTCACTTTTTTGGGGCTTTTTTCCTCCTAGCATGACGATGGCCTTAGAATTGAATTATTGTCCAATTTGGTATTGATTCTCAATAAATAAAAAATGAAAATGTTCAAAATGAACTGTTTTGTAATTAGAATTTTGAGTCTTGAGTGGACTTTTCCATCTTACAAGAAAAGCTTCTGCTTTCTTTCTTGGAAATGGCACCTAAAATCTTTTTGATTCCATCTGATCTCTCAAATAAGGAATAATATTTCAGTTGCATTTGAATGTTCAATCTTTATGTCTTTATGTCATCACTGGTACCTGGTAGTACTTCTACTTGCAACTTCTACTCCTTTTCTACTCTTTTTTTTTTTTAAGTCATCCACAAGGGCCTTCCACAACATGACTCAGTCAGCAGAAACCACTGTAAATTTCTTTTAGAACTCAATGAAAGTTGGTTCTGATGTTGTTCTATAATGTAGATTTCAATACACTCATGTTTTCTTCATATGCTGTGTTGTCTCTACTTAGAAAGTCTTGCAGCATAGTGTTATATCTGGGCTATCTTGTTCTTACTGCTCTTGCAAGTTACATTCATCTATGCATAAATACTAATTTTTGTCAAATGAATAATAAAACCTCCATTTCTGAAAAGCTCACAGTATTCACTTTTTCATCTTTTCTAGACAATTTTTTTAAAACTTTTTCTACTGCCTCATCTTCAGAGGCATTTTCAAGAGCATACTGGTTACTGACATCAGCAGTACAGTGAATCAATCTACTTTCTCTGACATAGCTGATGCATTAAAACTGGACTTTTCAGTGCAGGTTAATGGAAATAAGTACTCCCTTCAACTGAAAAAAAAAAAAAAAGTATATTATTCTTCCAGATTCATTTGGAAATGACAGCCATGGCTTTTTTTTTTTTTTTTTTTTTCCCATCAGGCTAATAATGGAGGAGAAAGTAGCAGAGGAACTAAACTCGTTTTCTACATCCTGGAACAAATATGCCATCTCTCATCAAGAAGATTTTTACAAGACACCAAAACTGAGATCAACCAAAAAAAAAAATTGTTACTTTTATACTACTAAATGACAGTTGTGGATCTGTGGATCTGTTTCCTGATTAAGCTAGCTCTACTGTCCCTGATGTTCCTATAATGACCAGAAAAGGACAATACCTGAGGAAACTTATGTATCTTCTCTAAATTTGTTCTAATTTCCTATATTATCACCATTAAACTTGAATCTCTGATTTAGCCCAGAGATTTTAAAAGCCCTGCTTTTTAAATAGCAGGCTTCTGTCCTACAGTTGGTTTATTTGACACATCTCCTGAGAGCTTGTGGTCATTCTGGAAAAGGGCAGTGGTTTTCAACCTGTTACCACCTCTGTATCACTAAATAGCCTGAAACAGCAGCATGTCAGCTACCTGGCTTTCCAACTTGCTGTTTAAACCCTAGAGACACTCTCTGGGGGACAAGAAAACAGAAAAATGTAATGGCAGCAGCAAAAAAAACCAATTAGGCTGGAATAAAGTAAATATTGCACAACAGAAAAAAACCCCAGGAAATCAAACACAGACAGTAAAACGAGCTAATGCCCAGTGGACTGCTACAATGTGGATGCAAACAGAAATTATAACACATGCATTCTTTTATCTAATGCAAGTACCCACTTGATCAAATGCTGGTGGCCACTGATAGACATTGTAAAGATTCAGGGTTGATAGAACTGGAATAAAACAAAACCTGCTCTCTCTTTACAAAACATGATTTACAAAAGAGTGTTGTTCTGTTATCTCCTACATTGAAAACCCTTCCTAAGCACATTACAGTTTCCCACAACAGTTCTCCCCATTCCTGTAAATACTGCAATAAGCACATTACAAATCACTGCCTTTTGCCCACTGTTTCTGCAACTAGACTTCCTGACACAAAATATGCAAAGAATACATGTTTAACTGCTCATACTGGCATGATTTATGCATGCACCAAAGTTAAATATCCGTTAATAGAAATTTAGTCAGAAAGCTTTCTTGAAGAAAGCCAATTTGCATTGACTTGTACTGAGAAGAGAATCAACTTGAGGTATAGAGGAAGGAGGACCATAAAGTCATCTTTAGTACCTACAATACTGCTATTCTACCATATGATTATTTACAAATATGAACTGTTACTTGTTTTCACAGGTGATTATCTCTGGAATCAGAGAAACACTTCTATACATCTAGATATACAGGAAGCCTGCTGAAAGATTTAAGGACCAATTCCTCTCCAGCCTCACAGAGAATGGAAGGCTCTGAAAGGCAAATTGATTTTTTTGGACTATTCTTCATAAACAGAAGTGGATCTCATCTTGGTGATTTCAGTAATTCAGAGAACTCACTGAAATAATTACCAAACTAGTTTTGCCAAGAGTGCATATTATATAATTAATTTGAAAATATTTTGATTCTGATATCATATGGTCACTTTTTAAAATAGTAGATTGTTTTATAAGGATCATTTGAATATGCAAGATGCACTCAGAAGCTCAGAGGGTTGGATTTAACTACTCAGCTTCAGAAGCCCACAGTTAGATGTCCACATCTCTGCTAAGTCCATGCTGCATAGACCACTTTCACAGTCAAAGGGAATTGCTTTTTTAGGACACAATAAATTTGGCAGTAAAGTAGATATCACAAAAGCTCAGATTATTGTGCTTTCTAAAAGACTGTTTCTTTCCCCTAAGTATAAAGGACAAGTAAGACAGATATACTATAGACACAAATTGCTGGTCTCAATTTGGTGAACATGAACACAACTCATCATGAATCCCTTCCACCGCTGTTAGAAGCATGTGTAACATACCTACACTCCAGTCCATTTCCTCCACTGCATCACCATATAAACCATGCTTGCTCTTTCCTTGGAAATTTTCTGAAGCATATAGAGCAGTATGGACATGAAGATAAGACAGGAAAAGAAGAAATGGTGTATCAGTGTTCCTGGAAAACAAAACAAAACCACAAACTCTTACAGTATCTTATAATAAGCTTTCTACAAATAAATCTTTCTTCAATAGAGTTTTTTTAAAAAAGGCTCCCTGTACCCCCTCAAAAAAACAAACACCAAAACAAAAAGAAAGGTGAAAAGGAAAAATGTAATTGATTATAGGATAATTCTGAATAAACACACACCCAGTAAAAATGCCACTCTTTTACTGAATTGAAAGCAAAAATAAATGACAAAATCTATCTAAATACTATTTGTGATATATATTGAAAAAGGACTTGTTGTTCAAAGGCAGGAATCTAGCAGTTTCTGAATACAAACACGTCTCAACAATTTACATGTATATTTTTAAAAACCTGAATACAATTTCTGTTCAAAAATATACCCTCAGCACTACATATCCATGTGAAACGCAATTCCTTCCTCACAAAGTCATGTGGGAGCTGATCAACTAAACTGTTATGGGGACCTGGGTCTTTATTATGGGCTAAGGTATATGACCAAACCTCTTTCCTTTTAAAGCTCTGTATGTGTATGCATGTGACTCTACATAACCTCAAAGTCATACCAATATAAAACTTTTTGTTCTCAGAGTAATGAACAGTCTCCATTGTCTTCTGTCTATTTCCTAAACAGATACAAGAGAAAGAGTGCAATAAATAGACTCTCTGTAAATTTTGCTCTTCATGTGATCTGCCAACAGGATATTTATGATCAATTCCAGCAGGCTGTGAAAGCACAGCTCAAACAAGTACTTCTCCTTATGCATTATTTATACTACTTTATTTAAAATTGTGCCGTACTAGCCAAATTTACTGCTATATGCTCTAACAGCACTTGCAGTACATTATGCATATTGTAAATATCAGCTGAACCACAAAAGCACTACCCACAACACTTGTCTGGATCTCATCTTAAAGCACACAGCTAATTGAAGACTACTTTTAGTTTTATTTATCATATTTTCCCCCACCAAGCTGTGGGGGATAATACCTGTGATTCACATCAACATCAAATGGAGACCATGTATTTACTCAAGCAGTTGGTTCATCCACCTTTTTAAGAGGGTAGTCCCAATACAGGCATGCTCATAAAAAACACTTCTTTAAAATTAACAAAAAAATCCTAACATTTAGAACTTGAAAACAAGTAGAAAAAGAGATTAATCTGATATCAATAGTTTCCTCCTAAAGAAAAAAAATTAAGTTTAATCTACTATATTTATGATCCATTTTCCTCTCTCCTTGGTTGGATCTGTTTTTTTCACAAGTTGAATGATTAAAGCTTTTTTTTCTACTGGCATATACAGTAGTAGATAAACACAGAATGGGAAATTTTTATCCATATTACTCACTTGATAAGTGTGTTTCTGATGGGGATTTTTTCTTCATAAAAAAGTTCTCATTTTTTAGGAAACCCAGAAGAAAAAAAACATTCTTCATGTGGAAGATGAATAAAAAATATTTTAATTCTCTCACAAACATTTGTGCATACATCCTGTATTACTTTATTATATAAAGTACTGATCCAAAACGTTTAAGACATGTTTTTCATAAAAGATATACTTTCCATGAAGTTGTTTGTTGCTATTTGAAAGGTCATATATGTGAGAACTTTTCACAATTTTAGAAACAAATAACAAGAGATCCCTGAGTCAGTGAAAAAGGCTGAAAATATCACCAATTGAAGTAAAAAAAGACATATACTTAAAAGTTACTTATTTAATATATACATAAATGTAATACTGACCTTTCACTAGAGAACTTTACTTCAAGGCAGATCATTTTTGTTTTACAACTAGCATTTTTTAATTCGTGGGATTATTGTTGACTTTTTCCTTAAACACAGTTCACTGAATTGAGATTAATATACAAATTCTAGGGTAAAACAACACAAAAAATTATTTTGTACTTTAATACTGCAGGCTATATTTAGTTTTCATACAAACTACCTTGTTCTAATGCCATAGAAACACTGCATTCTCATAACTGCCTACTTGCTTTGCTAAAAGTATCAATAGGTTCCATTACAAATGTTATTTTCAAGATGTAACAATTCAAGTTTGTTTTGTTTGTTGAACTCACAGAAAGATCTAACTTTCATGAAGAGTCATCAAATCAATGATTGATATGGAAGGGCACTACATCATTCTCTTTTTTCCAACTACAATTGACAGCTTTTGATTGACAGCTTGCTGTCGGGTGGAGAAGTGTCTCACCTATTAATATCCTCTAAAAGATCAGAGGCAGCTATTTATCTCCTGCCAAAACACTTTGAGGAGAATCATGACTAAATACCTTTACTCTGACCTTGAAAATGGAATGACAATACCAGCTAGTAGGCGGGAGAAAAATTTGACAATAACAGCTTAACTCCTTAACCACTTCAAAAAACAGCTCTTTCAAAAATGTATTTCCACTATCTTTTACACAGCCCAAACACAGTGAATCTCCTTATCAAAAAATTTGAGATTTTTTATCCTCACATGAGTCACACAGTTTTTTCAATTTATTGAGTAGCTAGAGAGATTACACACATCTGACATAAGATATTCTTCAGGGTGCTTTTAATGGAACTTGAAAACATCTTAAAGCATCACAGTGCTGGTGACTCGTCTGCATTGCAAAGTACCGGGTTCTTCTTTTGTATAGTGAGGTGTCTTTGTATTACTCAAGGATTCAGCTCAGGCCTGAGCTATAAAAAACAGCTTTAAAGTGTGTGAGAGAGCAATTAAAACTAATCTGACTTTGTGCTTCAAACCCAAGTCTTTTAACATTTTTCCTGCAAATCTGCCTAAATGCTTGCTGCTCTGAAAACTCCTTGGGCAATTGTTGGCTTTTCTGTGCACTTAAGTGGCACAGTTGACACATTGCAGGGAAGGAACACCACCCAGAGGTGCCTGGACAAGCTTGAGATTTCGGCCCATGAAAATTTAATGAAGTCAACAAAGCCAAATGCAAAGGCCTGCACCACAGTTATGTCAATCCCAAGCACAAATTCAGGCTGGATGAAGAATGGAATGGGAACAGATCTGAGAAGGACCTGGGGGTGTTGGTTGACAAGCTCCATATTGGCTGACAAAACATGTGCTTGCAGCCCATAAAGCCAACTGTATCCTGGGCCTCAATAAAACCAGCATGACCAGCAGGTAATCCTTGAACAATTCCAGGGATGGGGCATCTGCAACTGCTCTACCTGTTCCAGTGCTTCATCACTCTCAGAGTAATGAATTTCTTCATAACATCTCATCTAAACCTGCCCCCTTTCAGTTTAAAACTATCATCTGTCACTATCTGTCCTTATAAAAATTCCCTCTCCCTCCTTTTATAAGCCCCCTCAAGGTACTGAAGGCCACAGTGAGGTCTCTCTTGAGCCTTCTCTTCTCCATGCTAAACAACTTCAGCTTTTTCAGCCATAGGAAAGGAGTTTCATCCCACTGATCATCTTCTTGATCCTCCTCTGGACCCACTGTAAGAGGTCCACATCTTTCTTGTGCTGAGCACCTCACACCTAGGCGCAGTACTCTAGGTGAATCACCACTGTATCAACTCAAGCAGATAGAAACATTACATTTCCTTTCCTGTCATTTTCCTTCTACTAAAAAAAATTATTCTTATTCATTATGCCCCCAGTGGATAAATTAATTAGTGCTTATTCCCCACAGATGCCTCCTCTACTTCCAGATTAGATCACCAGTAAGACAGTGCTCTTTGTGATAGCAGTGGATGAATACACTTCATTAATCTTGTTCCTGCAGGAGGAAAAGCCAAATTTTGGCTCAGTTGTACGAAAGCAGGACTGTTTCTATATGCTGGATTTTGTTTTGTTCTGACTGCTAACAGTGCTAAAATTCTTGTTAGTCTGAATGAATTTATGAATGAATGTTTCTGTCCTGCTCTTTTAAAATATACACCTTCAAACACAGATGTCATATTTTCAATTTTTTTCAAAATCAGAAAAAGAACTCCAGACTACTGGGGGATAACTTATAAGAACCATAAAAGGTGTTGAAAATGTAACAGAAAGAGAAGGAAAAATGCAAATATATAGAAAATCTGACTCTTTCTAGTAGATATTAAAAGTAGAATTTTTTACCACTATATCTGCATTTTTTAAATAATTATTCTATGCCAATAGATAAGATGCTTCTACTTTTCCAATTTCATGTCTTCATTGCTTCCTTTAAATACTTAAGGTAAACACATATGTTTTTATTTCCTTTCTATACAACCTTTTTCTCTCGCTCTGAAAGAAAATTTTGTAAGCGTGGAGAAAAAAAAAATCATTTAGTACAAATTAAACTCATTACTAAACCCTCTCATCCACAAAGCTTTGGAGTACAGTATACAGATCTACCTCTGTTTTAGAAGTGTTCCATTGACCATTCAGTCTGCCAATCACTGCAGAACTAGTGAGGACCCTAATAATTCTTAAATGATCTAAAGATTTGGTAAAGTCCTATATGAACCCACACTTTCCTCCTGTTACCTTCTTGTTCAAAAGGCATAATCAGAGATCTGGGAGAAAACACTTGAAGATCTAGTAGAGTTGCTAGAGCTTATAAGTTACTACATTTTTTAATATACGTGCACATATACATTATATGTATACAGAGATACACAAATTCTTCTCTATATTTTTTTTTTTAGCTGTAAAATATAAGGAATATTCTTGTAGGATTCACAAAAACACTGGATTTGAGAACTGCAACTTCAGTGCAACATGACAACTGCTAGATCCTGAGACCTAATGATACATGGAGAAACTCTAAACCACAGTCTGCAACAGTAGCTAACAAAAAATTTGAACAGTTGTTGCAACAGCGTTTCAAGAACTAAAATAGAATAGATAAAGAGAAAATTTACAATTTATTAACTGTTGAACATTATGCTTATGCAACCTATGACTGGTAAAACTAGGCAAGAAGATTCAAATTCACCTTCACCACAGTTTTTAAATATACTAAGTTAGTATTTAAATACTGTTTTCAAAAAACTAGATTTCATTAGACTTTTAAAAAATATTATTATTACTTGTGATCAGGTATAGAAATTTCTCAGAGAGGTATTCTGTATCACAGAGTGGTATTTTTGTGTTGTTAATTTCTGATACGCTAGAAAACAGACCCCGGCACTTTGCAAAATTGGATTTTCTGTGCAGCTGGTATTGAAAGGCATGCTGAAGATGTATGAGTGACAACCACATTGAATTTAACATGAAATAAGTAGCACCCATTTGACTTTCAAATACATTGTAATACCAAGAGAGCATTCTATTAGGTTTAGGACATGTAAACACTTCCTCTCAGGAAAAAGCAATTAGAATTAACATACACAGAGCTGACCTGCCCACTTACAATTAGGGTAAGAAACTAAACTACTACCTGTTTTCACACACCAGATCTGACACTTGTAATTGCATACATTCTTCTCCAGTGCCATTTTTGGGCATTGAATTTTGTATTTGGTCTCTTTTAGTCTATTAAGGAACAAACAAAAATTGTAATATGCATACACTGGACTAAGGAAGATAAAACCCAATACCACCTTTCCAAAGATCAGACCAAAATAAGCACAATAGCACACAGCTGTACACTATGAAGACATTATAAGACTTTAAAAATACAAATTCTAATGATTGTATAGAATCACAGGCCAAAATCGGCCATCCAGCAGTCTGAGGTAGTAGTTCTGGAAGACCTCTCTCCTTATTTTGCTAGGAATCACAAACTCTCATTTTGTGGTCTCTATGCCCAAACAGCCTCCAGGCACCACAGCACCCACCAGTCTTTCCCTGTTCACAGAGAGCAGGTCCAGCAGGGCCCCTCCCTAGGTCAGTTCACTCACCAGCTATGTCAGGAAGTTGTCTTCCATACACTCCAAGAACCACTTACACAGTTTCCTATCCACTGCAATGCCTTTCCAGCTCTGGTAAGCTGAAGTCCCCCACATGAACAAAGGCCAGGAATTGTGAGACTTCTCCCAGCTGCTTACAGAATATTTTGTCTTCCTCTTCATCCTGTCTGGGTGGTCCATGACATACTCCCACCTTGGTATCTACCTTGTTGGCCTATCCCCTGATTCTTACCCATAAGCACTCAAACCTATCACTACTATCATTAAGCTCTGGACAATCAAAACACTCCTTAGCATAAAGGTCTACCCCACTGCCTCTCCTACTTTGCCTATTCCTTCTGAAGAATCTGATGCTTATACAAGTCACAAAACTGAAAATTACTGAGAAACAACTAGGAAAGAGAATGTCTGGAAGTCCATCACCTGAACTCTGAAGAACTTCTAGAGGCAATAAAGGCAATAAGCAAACAAACTTACATAGATAAAACATTGGAAAATTAATATGTTCATATACATTGCATATAAATATAGCATAAAAAAAGCTTTACAGGAAATATCAGTGCTGGTGAAGACTGGAGCTTCATCATATATTTATTGTAAAGTTACTTAACCAACTAAAAGACACATGATATCTGATAATTTTAATTTGATGATGAAATGTGTATTTAGAACCAAGTAGGGTGAAAGCTTGAATTCTTTAACTTCAGGATTGTTTGCTCTCAGGTATAATTGTACACAAGGATTAACAGCGTACATGACTGAGTTTGCTGCTTAATGTGTCAGCTGAAGAAAAGGAGACTGTGTGACAAGTTCAGTGTTCAAACATGTGGCTAAAGGGCTGAAAGAACTGGAATGACAAGAATGCTGCTAAGCACTGTGACTTTCAAAATACTTGTGGCCCTTCACTTCTGCAACCTGGTTACCTCTTGGTGGCCAGCCGCCTACAAATGGCCAAAGTCAGTGGATTATTCATGAAAGCAATGATCTACTGGTGCTCTGGATTTAACAGGTATGAACTCTATCATGTCAGAACTAGTGTGTCAAAGCAAATATTGGTTTTGTTGCTCACACTAACGGATGGGGCAGATCAGTTCAGTGAACATTAATCCAATTACTCATTTCCCCAAGAGTAAGGTTTATGGTCATATACTTCGCATGTGCATTCATTAAAGGGCACAGTTAAGATTGCTCAAATGCACTAATTGCTTCTCAATACTTTAACATGTTTGGATATTCTCTAATATAACACTGACTATGAAGAGTCTGGGTTATAATTCTCACTGTAATTACAGCACTCCTGTTACAAAGTTTGTTGTAAATTATGAATATGTGCTATTAACCTTGACTTCAATTTAACATCAGTGTTGTCTGAAAACTACACTGACATTTGAGGCCAAGTGCCTAAATGATGTAAAGTCACTTACCTCTAGCTGGGTCAACAAAGCTATGCTAACTTAGATTATACATTATTTTGCCAGCTCTAAACACTGGGGTCAAACAGCAGCACTAATCGACAGGGTAACACTGTGCACATTACACATATTAATACAGTTAAAAGAGTTATTAGCTTTCTACCATCGATTTCCATCTTGAACTCACCTATTTTGAGGCAACTATTCCATTGTCATGGCATTGAAACTAGTGAAACATTAATAGATACACATAACAGTATCACTACAGGCACTTTATATATTTGCAAATAGTGGAAGAATATACCAACAAATAGTTCATGTACTTGAGAGTCTTTTGAAATCACCAAACGCTTGGTCACTAAGCAAGTAATCTTTTAACAATTTTCAAATGTGTTTGTTCGTGTGTTTGTAATAACAAAGTACTTCACTGTTAAATTATCTACAATGTATCTGAGAAGGCATCTTTATATCTATCCCCATCACCAAGAGGAAATACAGATGGTTGAGTTAATTTATAAATACTTATGAAAATGTTGATCGTTGGGAACACTTAATTATTTAAGGAAATTTGTTATAAAAACCATTTTTTCGGTATAATATGTAAAAACAGCCACATCAAATATTCATAAGGATGGAAATGATAAAAAATTGCAGTATGAGATCAAGATTTTAAATAAACATTTTTTTTTGCTAACAGCTAGAAGCAGCTGCTCTGTAAAGTCATTAAGTCTACAAAATTTAGCTGCAGATTCCCGGTATGTGTTTTCATCCAGCAATGACACCATTTGCATGTGTTCACAGAAACTAATGCTACATACTTTAAAGAATAGTAGTTCAGGGGTGTTGAATAGAAATTCAGGATAATAGTAATTCTATATGTTAAAATATGATTTTATCTTGATTTAGTATTTTTAAAAATGCTGCAATTTGTGTCAAAAGTGGTGGAGAAAAATACATACACATATTTTTTACAGAAGTTAAATTGAATAAATATTTTTTTCTGTAAATACATTGATTTCTATTTTAGAATATACAAATGTATACTTTTTTGACTTGATCCCATTAAGAGCTCTTTGGTGACAATTACGAAGTAACTGACCTAGCAAAAATGAACCATGACTTAGGATGGTTTTGTAACCCAATATTTAGGTGGCCCAATATTAAAAACACAGTTTTCAAAACACCCTTTTTTTTCACAGAATCACAGAATACAGAATGGGTAAAGTTGGAAGGGACAACAGTGGGATCCTCTGGCCCAACCTCCCTCAGGGTCAAACCAGAGAACATGGCCCAGGATTATGTCCAGACAGCTCTTTAATATCTCCAGCAAGGGAGACTACAAAACCCCTCTGGTTAACTGTGCCAGGGCACTGTCACCTGCACAAGAAAGAAGTTATTCCTCATATTCAGCTGGAACTCCCTGTACATCAGCTTTTGCCCATTGCCTCTTGTCCTATTGCTTGGCACCACCAAGCAGAGCCTGGCTCTGTCCTCTTGACACCTCCCTGCAGATACTTATGTACAGTGATAAGGTTCTCTCTAAGTTGTCTCTTCTTGCGGCTGAACAGGCCCAGATATCTCAGCCTTTCTCGTAAGAGAGATGCTCTAATCCCTTAATCAACTTTATTGCCCTCTGCTGGACCTCCTCCAGGAGCTCTGTGTCTCTCTTGTCCTCAGGATCCCAGAGCTGGATACAACTTTTCAGATGTGGCCTCAACCAGGGCTGAGCAGAGGGCAGGATCACCTTCCTGCTGGCAATGCTCTCCCTAATGCCCCCCAGGATCCCATTGGCCTTCCTAGCCCCAGCACCCACTGCTGGCTCATGGACAGATAGTTGTCCACCGGCACCCCAGGTCCTGCTCCTCAGAGCTGCTTTCCAGCAGGTCACTCCCTGCCTGTCCTGGTGCTGGGGTGCTGGGGTTATTCTGTCCCAGGTGCAGAAGCTAGCACCCTAATTTTGGAAAATCAAATATTTTCAAAATTATGGTTATAAAAGTGGAGTCATCTAAAATGCCAGTATCTTAAAAAATTAGCCATATGAATGCCTTTTAATGGATGCATCAACTCAGTGATGAAGAACATCTCCCCATTCCAGAAAAGTCATGAATTATGACTCTGCATTGTGCTTTCACAGAATTAAGTCACACCACAAAATATTTGTCATATTTCAATTTACATGAAATTCTTAAGAATAAAACATTTCCCTTTTTATAGAGAAATTAGCTACATACCTGACAGGAGGAAACCAAACAGTCATTCCTACCAACAAGATTAACGTCATCTTTTAAAGGAAAAAAATTACAATCATATATAATGACATATTCCCTGTGCCCACCAGCTCACTTTTTTTCCTAATTTTCAGAAGCACTGTCATCATGAGATGCCAATGTTAACTTACAACACAGTTAGAAACCTACCTTTCAATAAACTTCATGGCTTCTTTTGTCAGTCTCTGAGTAAGGTTCTCATAGGACAGTGGCTGCTGGATAATCTGATGGTCCCTCATTAAAAAGCAGTTTAGTTGTCGAAATTGATAGAAGAAAAAAATCAAAACCACAAGTGAAATTGTGATTATTAACAAGAAGTAACTCAGAGCTTGGAAGGGTACTTTGAGAAGGCCAATGTACTGCACTACTGCCAAAGACACAAGGGCGATTCCAGTGATTTGGACTGGGATGACAAGGTCTTTCTGAACACCTTTTAAAAATACACTGCCTTGGCCAGGTTTGCAGTCTCTAAAATTGGTCACGGGAAGGCCATAAAAGTAATCAAATCCATGACTGAGGGGGTGGTGACAGAAGTCATTATTGCTTTCACAGTTCATCCCAAGATGCCACTTTCCTACAAAGAGAGAAGGACAGGGAGTATTTTTGTAGTTAAATCATCAAACTTACTTTTAATGTGCATTATTTAAAACATAAAGCTGTCACTATCTGGCTGATATACCCCTGCTCCCAGCATTTATTGTGTGGATCACTATTTTCTATTGAAAGTTTCATTGTGCCTCCATCAAAGATTTTTTTTTCTTGTCTCTCTCTTCATCTCAGTTAGAAACAGATTAACATGGCTGCTGCTGAAGAACATTAAATTCTGAGTGGGCTAGTAGATCACTGAAGAGCAACAGAGCCCTAGCAGACAGCTACCTTTGGAAATTAAGCATGTGTAGTTGTCATAAGATAATACTGTTTTGTAGCAGCTACTGATTGAAGAGGAAGAACAAATATGGAAGTACAAAATATCTTTTCTGAAGTTTTTCTGGCAAATAATTTGACTAGTTAAAAAGAGACAAAATAATAATAAAAAAACAGCAACAAATAGAAAATAAATCAATAATAGGAAAATTATTAAAGCATTTATTATTTAAATGATTGTGGAATCTCTGAAATTGCCAACATCCTTCAAAATACACATATATATACAAGGCTGATTATTTTGTATTTATATTTCATATATATAAATTAAAACAACAGTAACAAGTAAATTGCTGTCAAATACTCTCTCTCACAGCATTTTATACCACTAGGAAATCGCTCTAATTCTGCAATAATGTTGGACCCTGTCTGACCACTGAGTCTGATTTGCATTATACTAATACAATCTATATTCATGTTGATTATGGTAAGTATCTAGATAATTCATTCTATGACTCAGGTACAACCTCTTACCACATGCTTATGCATTGCTTAGCACAACAGACCTAACTGGTAGCTGCTATTTGAATAAAATGCATAATTATAAAAAAAATTCAAATTCAGTTAAGCTTATTGAGCTAGCTTATGGCTAGAGCTATGCCTTTGCTCTCAGCACAAAAACATGCTGAATAATTTAAAAAAGCATGCTGGCCTTGACAAAACAGATAACACTATATACTGCTGGGCCAAACTTTATTTATTTTTCTGAATCAAACACCTAAACATGACCGGCATAATTCAGGGATTGTGATTGCAAAAGAAATAAACAAGAAAAACTACAAATCCAGTAAGTCTTCATTCCCATAACTTATCCCAAAGAAATTTGAAATACTTGTTTCAGAGAATTCAAAATATTCATGGCAGTAAATGTAAAACATAAAAAAAAAAGCATATACAGAATTTTTCCCTTTTTCAAACCAAGCCAGCTTTTACACAACTGTAAGAGAGTCCTGATGCAAACAGTCCTGAACATCTCCTTCTGGGTCTCCAGAACAATGTATTCATCCTGCACTTTTTCCTTTGGCTGAGACAAATGCAGGTACTGCAGTACCAACAAGGGTGAACATGGGGATCAGTTCTGCTTTTTTAAAATTTAGCAAATTAGGTGGATGTATTTATTTCTCTTCTACTAATAACAGAACTGAGTTATAGGATGAGAATGTCATATGCCTAAGTTTGTCTGTCAGCAAAGGTGGAGAAAAAGCAGAAGTCTTGAATCTGAGTGCTTAGTTGAGTTCAATTGTCCTCATATGTATCTTGATGGTCTTAAGTTAAAAGTAACTTCTGTATATCATCAAAGCAGGTATAAAACATTTTCAGGTCTGCTTATGTGCCAGTGAAATTAAGGCCTCTACACATTTCTCATTTCATCAGAACTTTTCCCTGTCAGATGGCCCCTCATCTGAAGTGGTATTCTCCTGGTGGTATTCTGCACAGAATGGTTCTGGTCACTACTTTTGATACAGTCCAGTAAAAATTATTGTGGTCAGTAAAAAAACAAGCAGTACATACCATTTTATTGAAATTTCAGAAGTTATAATGGTGCTATAAAGGGCTAGGTAAGGCTGGAACTCTGATTTTCCTTCCCAGCACCCAAAGACACAGATTTTTGAAAAGAAATGCTTCAATTTTTCTCTTATGTTTGAATGAGTCTCTTAATGGAATAATCATAAATCAGATGTGTAACACAGTGAGCATGAAGCAACTGTCATCAAGTTAGATTTAAAGGTAGAGGCTTATAATCATGAACATAAATGCTCTTCTGGCTTAATTTTTTTATTTTTTTTTTTGCTATTATAGGTTAATCTCAAAGCACCTATAATTCAGTAAGAAAATACGAAAAATAAACTCAAGCAAATTAAGTATACCTTCAAGGTCACTTCTTATGATACATAGTGGATTTTTTAACTGGATCTCAACTACAATCCAGGATAGAAAAACCTTGCAATAACAAATTAGGGCAGGGAGAAATATAAGTCCTATTTTTATCTAAAGACTTTCTTTAGCAAGCACAACAAATTGTTCAATGTCAAGACAAACTTGGGCCTCAGAAAAAGATTTGTTGAGAAGCAACTTAAGCCAAGCAAAGCAGAGATCAGGTTAGCAGGAGAAACAACAGAAGCCCCCACTCAAATTATATTGGGAGCTGTGATGGAATGACACAACTGCCATTCTCAAATGGCTGGGGAGGTAGAAGGTTTTGATAGATCCTGCATTACTCTGAAAAAGCAAGTGATGGCTGGGTGCACAATACATGTTTTGCTTCACTCCTTGTGACAATAACCCCTGCCTTGAGCTAGTGCTTGAACAGATTACTGTAATGTGCTTTAGATTCTGGGGCCCTTCTGAATCTGAGAGCAATGCAAAATGCTCTCATCTCTTTGCCAAGTGATGCTTCATAGAATGGACACTTCACATAAGCATCATAAGCATTTCAACAGATTCTACCAAGCTTTTGAGTGAAATTTATGTTGTTAATTGTAAATTATGAGTACCGTAATAATTTCAGACCTAGGCTTTTTTCCCTCTCCATCAGCCACAATTAAGACTTCTGCAGAATGAAAGCAATGAAATGAAAGGCAAGTGGAAGTGAGAAGCAAGTCCTATTCAGCCAAGAAATTTCACTTGAAACTCCATTTTTCAAAATGCAGAACCTTAAGGACACTACAGAAATCCATGTTTCCCCTGTATTTTTCCCTCAGATAGTGGAAAAAGGAGAAATACTGTAGTGGTTTTGGTACAAAGACTGATTTTTATGTAATGATAAATATGTTTTGGAATGATTTTGTGTTTTTCGGACAAATGGCAAGGTACAAGATGTGGAGCAAGATGCAAACAGAAATATTTTATGTTCTTAGGAAATGTATTTATTTGAAGTACATAGCAAAATTTATAAGAAGTGTATGTACATATGGTATTAACATGGACAGATTTTAGGCTGTTTTATGAATAACTGTGGTATTAACTCCACTCCATAGACTCAGTCAATCTTGGACACCTTACTACTGTGATGTGCCCAAATATTAAAATACTTCATTCTGAAAGAAATAAGTACCAGTTATCAATTAGTATTTTAGCTTTGGATATAAGCTACGTAAGTGGATTTTAAACTTCTCTGGATGCTGGACAACACACTGGATAGCAACAGTGATGAAATTAACCTTTACTCTACTGTAATTGAGTATAGCAGTAGTTAAAATACTATCTATCAAATTTAAGGGGAATTTTTGTATTATGAATTGCTATTTCCAACAAAACACCAGCATTTCTTCCTACTGGTGAAATATTATGTATTCTATGCATCTGCTTTTTTTGATAGAACTTTGTTGTGTTGCAGATCTGATTGTGTGCTTTCCTGACAGATCTATTGGTTGTCACCTTCTTTATGTCACAGGGGAAAACAATGAGGTAGAAAAGTGTATACATAAAGTAGATTTATAGATAAAATATATTTTGGGACATATCAAACAAAAGAAAGCACATATTCAGAGGAGAAAAAAAAAATTAAAAAGAAACAAAAACGCACCTAGGGAAGAAAAATACTGTCCTCAGAGAGGAGATTGACCAAAAATATAGAAATGACACTACAGGCTTGAGGATCAGAAAGGCTTCAAATTAACCTTATGCCAATCCATCACTGGTGCAGGATATGACAATTAATTTTTTGGGAACTGCTGAATTAGATTGAACCAAGCAAAGACTCCCTGACCTAGACCAATATGATGTGATAAGAACACCAGCAAAAGCAGAAAATATGCTGGCTGTGAATCAGACTGTCTATCTAGTCTTCAAATCTACATAATTTTTCTTTTTGTCATTTACATATGCTTTATTCCTAATTTTAATGCACTTCTTGATTTTTGGAAACCTTCATTATACTCTAAGGATATGGTAATATTACATTTTATGGTCTCATAGCTATCACTCAGGCCACTTGGAAGAATTTTTCATTAAGCATCATGGAGAGAACTTCTGGAGATCTAAGTGGCAAGCTGTCATGCTGCAGCAAAATTAGTTAAAAAAAGAACATTAACTGGGTCAGCCCCAGAAAATGAGTTGTATTACTGTGCTTGTTACAAACATAAAAAACCCAGTCTTTAATTGAATACGGAGAAATAGAAATCAAGTCCACAAGGAACATGACAAATTATGAACGGCTTTTTTTTCAAACTATGAACTATTTGAACTATGGTTCAAATATACCTACATTAAATACATTTCTGATAAGAATTTCTGGTTTTCTATTTTCATTCTTTCAGGACATCATGGTATTTTATGCTTTATAAGACTGAGGTATAGCTAAGTAGGATTTTTAGTTAGAACGCTGACACTGGTTTATCTACATAATACAGACATTTTTTGAACACTGGCAGGAATTGTTATCCTTGCTAAACACCCTGGGTTTTTAAACAGAAATTACTCTCAAAATTGCAAGTTTCTGTTTCATTTAAAAAACAAATTGCATGCATCCTTCATCTAAATCAATTTAGTAATATTCCAGTATGATATTCTCTGTACAACTATTCCCTGGAAATTCCAGTACAGAAACACATTATGTAATACAAATTAAACTTCTCAAGAATCTTCTAAAATATAAGCAGTGTGGAATAAGTCAGTGGCCAAATTAAGAAAAAAAACTCAGAAACCTTTAAAGTTATACTTTTATGACATTAATTACAATTCTATTTAATATTAACCTAGTATGATTCCTTTTGCCCATCACTGGATATTTATGCTGCTATCAGTTTTCTGAACTATCTTTATAATGAGAGAGAAATACCTTTTTATATGAAATATCTACCAAATAATTTGAGAAATTTCCTAGAAATGTCTCCATTTTTGTCTGATGACTTAGATGGTAACCCAGGTACAGCATTATTTACTGTATGGGAACACTGGTGAAAAACAAGCACAGTGCTGACTTGCACCCCTGTGATCAACCCCTCATTGTCTCTCTGATGTAATCAAACTCCTATTTATACTGAAAACTTTTAAAAAGCTTGAATAATTTTCAGTTTGTTCGTCATGTTTCTTCAGTACCATGCAAAATGAGACTATAACTACACAAGTGAATTAGACATACTTACCTGACTAGTGTTTCACACAGGCATGGGAATGTGCTCAGCTTTGTTCCAGAAAAATAAATTCATTATGCTGTGGGGCAGAAAGGCTTAATGCAGGCCCTTAAAAGCCTATACAGGAAGTTAATGTTCTTTTCATTGAAATAAAAGAAAACAGAGCTGTGCATGCCTGCAATTTTACCTATTAGAGCTGTTGCATAACCTTTCTGCTTCAGGAGTTTGGAAAAAGTTATTTCTTCAGAAGAAAGTCCCCCAGAAGAGGCAGAAAATAAGAAGACACCAACTCGTGAGAAGGCAGCCATTCCTAAATACAATAAAAATGAATGAGACCAGGATAATACAAAGAATTTCCATTCATTAGTCCTGCATGCACCTTTTTGCCATAGGTGGTATCACTTAAATGACATATTACAATCAGACACTACGTGTTGCAAGTGGAAGGTACAATCATCCATTTAGATGAGTGAGGTATTTCCTGTATTGACACCAGAAACAGACATGGAGAAAAAAATTCTGAGCTTATAACCATGGGACCAGCCATCACATAAACAGCTGTAGCCTCTTTTGTAGATTTTCTAAGGTATAGCAAAATTTTAAGAAGTTGATCTTGCATAATTTATTTTTCCTGTACACAGGGAGGGAAGGAAGATGAGGACTAAGTGAGATCATTCCCAAGTTCTACTTTGAGAATTTCCCCTGTCCTCATATGTGGTTTTCTACAAGCCTGTAAGGTTTTTTGAGAGAAGTCATATTGAAATACGGCAGTCTTACTTCTGGGCATGTAAATATCATGAGGTCAGAAAGAGCAAGAGGGAATCTGATCCTGTAAATAGAGTGGTTTGAGCTGTCAGCATTGATGGGGTGCTCCAGTGGCATAAAGACACATTGCACACTGAAGGAGTGCACTAAAGGAGCATCAGGTACCGGCTAACAAGACAACATCTAAATAAGGCACAGTAATTTCTATATGCTAAGAGTCTGAGAAACACAAATGAGCTTACAAAGTGCACTCAGGATGAGGAACTTGAGAGCTCAGGTTCATGAAAATTAGATTACTAGGATTCCAGATGAGAGCTGGCACTGAAAATAGACAGTAGGAACAGAGAATATCTATGCAAATCTGTGCAGATGTATCTTCAGGAAGTCTAAATTATGCAACTGGATGATTACAGTGCCCAAGTTACATGACTGATGTAGACAACCAGAATCCTCCCTCAGGTATCCCTTGTGGTTACATGAGAAAATGATAGACTGGTTTATTAAAGAGAGCTCAACCTACCCTTCAAATGCTGCCTTCAATTTTTCACCCCAGATAGTTTTGCTGATCAATGCTTCAGATAGCTTCAGTCATATATTTATTTATATTTTACATATTTATATTTTTTTATATATTTCAAGCTCTTGTAACTGAAATCAGTGTAATTCCGTTATCAGAATGAAAGTACAGAAGCATGATTTATATTTTTTTTCATCTTTACCTTTCTCTGAGCTTGTCTTATCCAGTACAGCATTTTGGAATCTTTTTCTTTAGCTCTATTAGCAGGAGATTTATATTTCTAACATTTTTTCCACATCATGATTCTAGTGTGTTCTATAATAAGCGTTTACTAGTTCTTCACTGATATTGGGAAGCAGTCCATATTTAGAAATTTTGTAACTTAAGTAAGACAAAGTTCAATTTTTGTACCTACATGGAAATGATTAAGTATGTCTGAGAGCTGATCAGTGAAGAAAAAAATTAGTTCAAGTCTTAATTTTTCAGAAATAAGAACAAGCAACAAAATGGAAAATGACCTGTGACTTTACCTACAGTAATATTAATAGCAATGTATCTGTAACAGGTATATAAAATTTTCCTTTGCAGATGAATTTAATGGAAAATTTAGCAAGTTATATTAGCTGGCACTTTTGCAGAAGCTTGTTACTTGATTTGAGTGAGCACGAACGTATCAAGTAGGCTCCAGAGTCTTGCTTTGCTTTCATTCCCAGAAGCAAGGACAGGATGTTTTACCACTAATGAACAAGTGATCTGATTAATGTATAATGATCCTTGCTAAAAATGATGTTAAGGGAATGTTAAAGTTGCATGGCTAAGCACTGAGAGGCTCAGTCCCAGCACACTAAAATAAACAGACTAGATCTTCATGGACTCAAATAGGCTTTGGATCAGGTACTTTGAAAGTAAGAAAAATTAAATGCATGTATTCACAGGATACTTAGTGCCGTGTATGGGTAGATATGGAACAAAAATAATCCTTCAAATAGGTGAGATATTTTTTACTCTCTTCCCAGTTTTCAGGGCAACTTGAGTACTTTAATGAACTGTCCTGCCCCTACCTCCCCCCTACAAAAAAAAAAAAAAGAAAACCAAACCATAAACCCAACAATTTTTCTTGATGCCTTGTGAAGGCTGACCTAGAACAGAGACTAGACAGAGCTAAAGAGTAAAGTAGGTATTCATTAAGAGGCCTCAAATAGATCCACCTTGGGTAGCACAACCCAAATGGCCACAAAATGGGCAACAGGTCATGGGGTCTTACATTTTTATAAGTTTTAGTCCATTAGCATATTGGAGCTAATTGTCCAATTACATCTTTAGACCATGAAGTCCCACCCTTCTTGTTTTCTCTCTTTTTTCTCTCTTCGGTCCACTGTTGTTTATGCTCTTGGGCCTGAGATCTAGATTGGCTGTCCTTGGGCCCCCAGCTAGAGAAGGAATTGTTTTGTCTACCTATTCTGTAGAGAGAGCTTACTATCCCCTAATATGAAGCCTAGACTTACATGCTAAAGCAGAATAGAATCTGAAAAATATAAAAGCTAAAACCCGAGGCATCAGTCTAAACAAAAAGGTTTAGCAGAAATTGAAATGTCTGAGAAGAAGTATTTACACTAGGTTCTTCCACTGAGTCTTTCTAGATGCATCTCTGTGGTGTTCAATACTTGGGCTGCCCACCAACACAGTGGGAGCAGCCTGAAAGCAACTGTGGAGGCAGGCAAAGAGCCTGGGGTCATTGCATAGTGGAGGAACTACACACAATCACAGAGAATCACAAGAGATGCTTAATTGGAAGGGACCTACAGGGATCTATGAATTCAACATCCAGCCCTTCACAGGGCATCCTCAGGAGTCACACTATGTGCCCCGGAGTATTGTCCAAACACTTCTTGAACTCTGTCAGGTTTGGTGCCCACAGCTCTTGAGGTGAGGCCACCCTAGCACAGAGCAGCTCTCTTGCCCTCAACAATCCCCTCCGTTGCCTGGCTGGTGATGTTGTGCCTGATGCAGTCCAGGACATTAGATTAAATGTTGGCATTAAATAACCACAGTCAGATTGCTTTGTTGCTATTTAAACAAAAAAAAAAAAATTTACTCACTAAATAAACTTTATATTTGGGTCAACTCTTCTGAAATGTGAAAATTCCCCATAGATGTGAAATATTTTTAATGTAGACCAACTCTGCTGAGCTTGATCAGTCACTGAAAGGACTGATCATTTACCATTACTTAATCTCATAATAATAAACAAATCAAGGAAGGCCAGACAAAATACCTGCATACAGTTTACTGTAAATAAAATAAAATATTTATATATAAATAAAGTAATGGGATTTTACCTGATCTTATAGGATATCTCCCTGTCAGGAAAGCTGCCCTGCTTGGAGTACAAAGTGGGGATGCTGCTATATGCTGAGTAAGTGTCACTCCTTCCTCTGCTAGCCTGTCAATATTAGGGGTTCTGGAAAAACACAAGCAGATGAAAAAAAAAAAACCAAAGATGGTTATTTGGATACAGGCATGGTAAGAACAAGGCATCTGAAGCAAGAACTATCAGGAAAATCCAGTAAAAATTTACCATATGTAAATTATCAAATGCATGGTGGGGTTGCAATTCCAAATACTATCATGTCAGATATTTTTAAAAGGGGCGTCTGAACAGAGACACTGTAACATTGCAGCAAAAATCTTTTTCTCCACTTTCTTCTATTCTTCATGGCCAGTGTTAAACTGCAACACCTGGACCTATAGTATTGCAACCCTTTTTAATGTGTTCCTTGACCAGAACTGTAATTTCTACAACATTTTTGCTTCAGTAATGAGGGTAAGAGAGACTAGAGAAAGGTTGTGCTTCCTTGCTCCCTACTTGGTGCCTCTTCAGTTTCTCTCCAGCACAGGCTTTTTGGGGTAGGGATAATGTTGTGTGGTGCTATAAGCTATTAGAAGAGATTCAAATGATTATGAGTCTGTGTTATGCTCTATATTAACAATATCTACATGTCTGACATGATTGTGTCTGCTATATTAGACCCAGGGGCAGAACCTAGCTTCCATATCTGTATGGGAAACTTGTCTGTGACCTGGCTCATCATGCAGATTAAAATTGGGTCCTGCAGGAAGAAATCCTGTGTCCTTGGTTCTACAGATAAAAATTACTAACGCAGACTGGCCAGCAGCTGCAGCATGCTCTAATAGCTCTCTGACCCCGGAGATTAATGACCATGACCTCAAGGCACACTAGTGCTCCCATCATCTAAGTCTGAATAGTCAGAAACATTAATTTTCTAGTGGAATTATTTTCTATCTGTAAAGTCACCTACTGATAACAATCACTAGGATGAAAATTCATCATATTCCAAAAATCTAATTCTGAATTCTCTCAGCACAGAATATAGATCTTGAGGTTGTTCTGGTGCCTGTGAGGGGAGTGATCCAAGCATCAATGTTCTATGTATTTTTCCTTGTTTAAAACCTGAAGCTGTAACTTGATTTGTATTTTTTTCTGAGTTATGAGAAGATTTTACTTCTAACTAACTATCAGCAGGAAAAAGAGCATTTAACATTTGACAGACAGTGCTTTTAGTCTGAATGTTTTATTTAACTTTGCACCACTGAAACACAATGGCTAGATATCATTTGCTCTGTTTACACAACCATCACATCTAAGCTGGTAGCAAGAAACATCCCAGGGCACACTAATGTATTATTCAAGTATATTAACATTTGCTTTAATTAATACATTGACTACTGTATGAAGATAAATTAAGGGCAAATATCAGCTCTTTATTTACAGTTAGTTAACAACAAGCTTGTCCCAAATCATGAGTGTTTCAAAATACTTTTAATGCATAGTACTTGTGTCATGTATATTCTAGAAGAAAATTGTTGATTATAACTCTCTAGAGCTATCCTTATTTGGTTGGTTGCTCAATCCTCTGTTTATAATGCAACTTTTCAGCAGGATAAATGCATTAGCTAAGACTTTGGTCAAAAAAAGAAAATAAGGATTGAATATTCAAATCTCTGGAAAAGTTAATAAATTTGATTACTCATAAAGAAACCTAATCAAACCTCTGAATATTCTAGCATTTTTAGTTTTAAAAATCCATTGAAAACTAAATATAAAGCTATGACTCCACCAAATTATCATCCTACCTTAAGGTTCTGTTCCCGTAACATCCCAGGTCTCCAATACCAAGATCATCAGCCATCAGTAAAATTATATTGGGCTTTGAAACACTGTGTGTTTTGATGCTGTTTATGGCACACTGGCAAATTATTAGAAGAAAAAGGAGCCCCATCTTCCTCCTGGTGTGTAAGAACACGTGGAAAATATAATAAATAGATTGTTAATATAATTTATTCTTATCATTACACTTTGCATAGTGAAAGAGAAAAAGAAAGATTGAATGCTTTTAGATGGTGCTTTTTTTCTTGGAATTTTTTTAAAGCATTTTTTTTCTCTCACACTTCTTAAAAATAAAAATGCATATTTTAGTATATGGGTATTTTTTCCTTCCACTCCTTTACACAGATAAAGCCTTTAAATAAAGACAAATAAAGAACTAGGTACAACCTCAGTGGCAATTTTGCATATACACATGCACAACTATAAAGCAATAAATCATAAGAGCTAACAAAGCTTGGGGATTTTTTTATCTTTTGTGTGCATGTTTGCTTTTTTTTTGTTTTGTTTTTTTTTTTTTTGGGTTGGTTGGTTTTTCTTCCCAGCTACAAATGTTATTTAAGTAATACAGAATCTGAAATCATTTGGGACCTAAACCTCCAAGGTTCACTGCAAAAAAAAAAGTTAATCAATTCCACTAACGAAGTAAATTACTGATTTCTCTTCAACAATGGGGAAAGAAAACCAGCTGAAGTTTCTGGAAAATTATAAATATTATGGAAAAGAGAGTGAAGAGATACACTATGAAATTATTGTAAGGAACGTTTAAGAAAAGGCTTTTCACAAACATTACAAATACCAGGGTCATAGCAAAATCAATTAAAAATATTTTATATCGTATCACAATGTTCTATAAACAATTCCCATGCCATATCCAACCTAAAACAGGAAGAAGGACGTATTGTACACAGCACAATATACCATTATACGCCTTTATAGTAAAAGCAGAGCATTTGCTGTTTTACCTTAATCAGAACTTGTTGAATCTCTGTGTTAAACTGCACTGACCATGTCCTGGCTGAAACTGAGTGCCTTCAGGCTGGAATGGACTATGCCAGGCACACACATCAAAAAGAACAGAGACTTAGTAAGATTCCCATCTTTTCGGGATGTAGGCAACCTTTTTAAAATGCAGGTGAGGCATGAGTCACACCTGCACTCTGCATTATTCTTGGACAAGAAGTGAAAGAAACCAGAACTAAGGTATAAATTTGTAAGTGAAAGGGTAGAAAAAGGAGAGACAATAATTTCCAGAGAGAATGCGGATAGCTGGTCAAGAAAGAAAAATCTTATAAATCAATGAATTATGGTAGATAATGTAACTGGAGAGAAGATAAAGAAGTCAAAACTGAAAGACCTGGTACAAAGAGACATTAAGGGAGACAGATTCACAAAGAAAGAAGATGGGCAAAACTATTTGTAGAGGAGACAAAATAGGCAGAACTAGAAGAGTTTACTCTGACATTAATAGCAAGAATGGGAGTTGATAACCAGCTGGAATGAGAACTGCAGGCAGAAATGAGGAGAAATGGCACAGTAATAAAGAAACTGGAAGGGATGACAGTGAACAGGAAAACAAAACTGAGGAACAGAGGCGAGAGAGAACAGGGAATGTCTGGGAGGAAAGAGCTGAGGAGTTATGATTATGGCCAATGAAGAGAACTGATTGGAAAGAATCTGGGAAGATAAGATTTGGGACTAACATAAGTGAGAAGAGATCAAAATAGTAGGGATCAACCAAAACAGACTGGGACTTCTGATTCCCAAATTCATTATTGTTGTTCTGTCAGGAAGTATAGGTACAAAGAGGGCTTTAACTCAATTACTATATTAACTATGTTTCACTGCTTAAGGTATATTTTATAAACACTTTGGTGTTCATAGTTCTGGCTTAGACTTCAGCCAGGAGCCTCTAAAGATCCCAGCCTTATCACTGCAGTATATTGTTCTCTTGCTTATCCCATGGAAAGCAACCTACTTCATTTCAGACATGGAAAATAAATACACAAGCTCTAAGTTTAAGAGAGTAAATGCATTTCTGAATAGGATACATCCACTTCATCCTTCATCAAACAACCATACTAACGAAACTGTGTAGCCCCTACTATGGTGCAGACTTGCCTTTCTTCCCTGAAAGGATAAACAAAAATTGTTTCCCATGCATTCCAAGAGAACAACTAACTCCCAAATTGACCCATGAGGACAGGAACAAACTGCAGCCAGATCTTATGTTCCTACTCTTATATTCAGACTACAAAGGTCTCAAAGTACAATGGCAATGGGCATGTTGAAAAAGGGAACACTATAATGTTGGTGACATTATGTAGAGTTGCATGGATGCTTGCAGGACCCACAAAAGATAGCCTCATTTAATAATTCCATTTGTCATTTTGTAAATCAGCCAAAAGGTTATTGCATGTTGTCTCTGATACATTACTGCTGGATACCTCTGAAGGAATATCTGTAGATATTCACACATTGAGCTATTTGCCTTCACCTGATATCATGTCCCTGAAGTGAAATCAACAAGGAAACAGGGAAAAAATAATCCAAACAACTATGATTTCTCTGGTGTACTCCTTCTGCAACAGATTTTCATATGTCTTGAAAGGATGTGCATAGAAAGCAAGAAGAATCAGATGGATGAAATTGAGTGGAACAGACAACAGCAAAGAAATTCAAAGGAGCTAAAAGGGAAGGACGTGAGAAGAATGAAGCTCTGAGAATGCTGAGAGCTCTCTGTATTACACCAGGGTTTCTCCTGGTGAAAACACAGGCATATGTAGACCTAACAGAAAAATGAAAACACAAAATCAGATGAAGCTTCCAGCTAACATTTCCTCTCTGTCCAGAGCCAATTCAAATGCTTAAGAAAAGATTTTAAAAAAAGCCTGGCAAAAAAATCTTTTACTAGCACAGCCTTTTAGCTTTTGGCAGCCAGCATTAAAGGCATTTTCGAGAGGAGAACATTGTAATGAATATCTCTCCATGGATCTCTTAATCTTCATGGATTTGTTACTGTTTATTTTTAATTGATTAACTTGTGGTTTGGTTTCTTGCATTGAAACAATTTGATTTTAGTTTTTTTACTTCTGTAACACTGTTTAGATGGCCCTTCAGTAGGCATCAGCTTTGAAGGCTTGTGTTTCACATTCATCTGGCAACTTTTTTCCTTCTTTTTTGCATGTGGGGCACGTAAGTGCAAGTTTTAACCTCTGCTTCACTTTCCCCATGATATAATAGAACTGAAAGTAGCTTCTTCCATTCCAAGGTGGCTGATAAATTGAATAGATTCAAGAGGTGCCTAATCTCCTACAACAATAGCCACATAAGAATTTGTATTTCACATATCCTATTCCAACCTACAATACTTAAATCACTGTATAGGAACCTATAGACACGAACACATATACACACAGATGTATCCATATGCACATATACACGTGTATGTGGGGGCATACACACATGTCCTACTTTTTCTACATATCTCCAAATTGTATTTTTGGGATTCTAATACATATTTTCTATTAGCATTAAAAAAACCCAAAGTATAAATATGTAAGAATAAATGAACGAAAGAAAAGCCCCAAACAGATCCACAACCCACTATTTCACCAAACACTTCTTTTAGGTTTTTATTTTCTTCATTAAAAATGCTGGCTAAAGAGGTTTGGGGATGTTTTTTTGGTTTTTTTTTTTGGGGGGGAGGGGTTCTTGTTTGGTTTTTTTTGTTTGTTTTTGTTTTTGTTTTTTTCCATCAGAATAACTGACTCAAGATATGGCTGTCATAGAATTATAGAATAACCTAAGTCGGGGACCTACAAAGGTCACCAAATTCAACTTCTGGCCCCGCACAGGACATCCCCAAGAGTCACACCATTTGCCCATGAGTATTATCCAAATACTTCCTGAACTCTGTCAGGCTTGATGCTGTGACCACTTCCCTGGGGAGTCTGTTCCAGTGTCTAACCACCCTCTTTGTGAAGAACCTTTCTCTAATATCCAATATAAACCTTCCCTGGTACAGCTTCAGGCCATTCTCTCGCCTGAAGAGAGATCTTGTCACTGATCACCAGAGACATCAGTGTGTGCTCCTCGTCCTACCCTCATGAGGAAGTTGTAACTGCAACGTGGTTTGCCCTTGGTCTCCCATCTCCAGGATGAACAAACCAAATGATCTCAGTCACCCCTCATATAGCTTCTCCTCAAAGCCCTTCACCATCTTTGTGGCCCTCCTCTGGATTCTCTCTAATAGTTTAATGTGTTCCTTGTATTGCAGCACCCAAAACTGCCCCCAGCACTCGAGGTGAGGCCACCCCAGTGCAGAGCAGAGCAGGACAATCCCCTCGCTTGCCCAGCGGACCATGCTGTGCCTGATGCCCCCAGGACAGGGTTGGCTCTCCTGGCTGCCAGGGCACTGCTGACTCATGTTCAAGTTGCCACTGAGCAGGAGCCCCAGGTCCCTTTCCTGGCACTGCTTTTCAGCCTCTCCTTCCCCAGTCTGTCTATACATCCAGGATTGCACCATCCCAGGTGCAGGATCTGCCATCTGCCCTTATTGAACTTCAAATGGCAGGTGATTGCCCTGTCCTCTCATTTGTTGAGGTCCCTGCAGGGTTTCTCTGCCTTCAAAGAAGTGAACAGCTCCCCCCAGTTTAGCATCATTGGCTGGTTTAGTTAGTATACTTTCCAGTCCTGCATTGTTTATGAAGATGTTGAAGAGTACTGGGCCTACAATGGAGTCCTGTGGACCCTCACTAGTGACAAGTCACCAGTCACTCCGTTCCCTGTAACCCCTTGCACCTGACCCACGAACCAGCTGCTCACCCGTCACATGATGCGTTTATCCAGCTGTGTGCTGGATAATCATCTGACTACTACAGACACATGCATTTTTACAGGAACAATTAAATGAAAGTCTTTGAAAGATCTCTTCCCAACTGAATCACCTCAGCATTTTTATTAACTTTGATTAAGCAATTTATCTGCAAACTACTCTTTTAATGTAACAGAGCCCTTTGAGAAAATGCTTAATATAGTTTATCCTTGAAGGTACGGTATTTTCTGATGAAATAAGCAACACTTAAAGATATTGACCTCATTAAAAAATGCTGTGTTATCC